TTGTTTTTAAGACTGAGTTTATTGGCTTCAGGTGAATTTAGGTATTATATATGTAAATATATATATTTATATAACACAATAATACATATAAATTATATGTATTTATAATTTATATGTATTATATGAAACAGAAGAGTAAGGCCTTACCAGTGGTAACTCTAAAAAGTTACCACTTTTTAAAAGAAAAAAGTGGGTTTTTTTTTTTGCTACACATATGAACAAGAACCATGTTTAGTCAATTAGCAATTGTATGTTATAAATTCATGTGCATAGTAGACATCATATTCACATTGAATAACTTATTATTGAAATGGATATATGGTATAGTATTTCTCTTTTCTCATGAAATATAAAATGCACATGATATTGAAGAATATTAGATTTTAAAGAAACAGTCTAGAGTTTAGTTTCTGGTAATATGGCAAAGTGAGTATCCTGAAAGCCTTTTCCACTTCAAAATACTTAAAAGTATTAAGTAAGGGGCGCCTGGGTGGCTCCGTGGGTTAAGCCGCTGCCTTCGGCTCAGGTCATGATCTCAGGGTCCTGGGATCGAGTCCCGCATCGGGCTCTCTGCTCAGCAGGGAGCCTGCTTCTCTCTCTCTCTCTCTCTCTCTCTCTCTCTCTGCCTGCCTCTCCGTCTACTTGTGATCTCTCTCTGTCAAATAAATAAATAAAATCTTTTAAAAAAGTATTAAGTAAATGTATAGCTTATAATGCATAGCTGAGCTGGCAAGAAAGTAATGGAAATTCTGAGAGGTCAAATTTGGGAGCACAGATCCTAAGAGATATGTGGACATCACAACTGCTCTAAGATATTTTCCAATCTTGCTTTGGTTCTAACAGCAAACCTTAGTCTGTGCAAGATGGGGTATCCAATTGTAGACCGCCAAGTGAAGCTAGTATTCAGAGGGCAACACTGCTAGTGAAAGGAATAGTAGGACAAAATAACTAATCTGTATGTGGAGGCTTGTCTGTCTTGGCCTTGGTTCTGGGTGGAGGGGAGAAAGAGTTTCTCTGAGAATTTGTAACCACAAACCACCTTTCTAAGAGTTTTGGAGCCTAAATTCTTATTACCTGTGTGGTCTTTAAACTGCTAATCCAAGAATTCAGATTGGTTCCTTTGTTAGTATTGCCTGCAGTGCCTATCAGAAGGAAGATGCATATCACCTCTAGAATAAAGTACCTTAAACCAGAGGCTCAAGGAATTCCCACAGAATTCAGTGAACATCAGCTCACAGCTAAAAATCCCCAAATACACGAGAGACAAGGTTTTACGAGCATAGTAAACTGGAAGTCGGATCTGAAGATATTTAGCGTGGAATTTAGGAGATGAAGAGATGGAAAATGTGAAAAAATATTTAAGAAATATGGAAGATACAGAGAGGATGCCCAACATATCTCATTAGAGGTCTGAAGGATTTAGAGAGAATAGGTAAGAACAATTTATGAAGATAAAATTATTGAGACTTCATTTCAGTTGAAGATATAGATCCTCATACTCTGGAAGAACAGTGTCCTAAGCAGGAGAAATAAAAAGGATAGCTGTATCTATCTATATACATCACAGGCAAGCTACACAACACCAAGGGACATAAGAAAAGTCTTAAAAGCAGTCAGAGAGAGACAAGACAGACTACTTATAAAAGAATGACAAATTGACGACAAACTTTTCAACAGCTAGTGGAATTCAGAATATGGTGGGAAAATATCTGCAAAGTACAAAGAGCTAAACATAACCTAAGTATCTGATTTGAGGCAGCTTTAATAGATAAATCCTCTCTGTTCTGTAAGCACAATTTCAAACAGTAATTTTACAGGAATTCTACATATATCACATATTCTATTTGTTCTGAAAGGGTTTTTTTTTTTTTTATTTTTTTAAGGGTAGTAAGCAGAACAATGATTCCCCCAAAGATGTCCATATCCTAATTCCCAGAACCTGGGAATATATTACCTAACAAGGCAAAAGAGATCAGATGTGATTAAGTTAGGAATATGAATATGGGAGTTTATCCAGATGGGATCAATGTAATCACAAGTGTCCTAATCAGGGGAAGAGAGTCAGGAGAGCCAAAGAAGGATGTGTGATGACAACAGAGGTTGGACTGATGAGATTGTAGATTTCTCATCTGTTGCTAAGTCACCACACAATACTCTAGACAACTAATACAGACTTCTTGATGAATTGGCTAAGAAACAGACCTTGTTTTGTATGTTTTCAGTTACTAACTTTATAAACCTCTACTTCAAGGTATGTGTTATGTTTAAAAATATTTTCCAGTGCTTGCTCACTGGGGGTAGTGGTCGGGGTACTCAGTTCCCAGCATTGACTTGTGCCAAGGAGGGACTTCTGCATATGTGTCCTTAGGTTCCTCCAAAGTAAGGGAGCCATTTTCTGGCCTGACTTTAAGATATATATATATTTTTTAGCTAATATATTACAGATCTTCCAAATTATCTATATGACAACAATCTCAGATTCTTCCTTTCCTTTAAAAAAATTTGGGTTCAAGTTCCATGTGTGATGATGACCTGCAATGGTGTTTTTATCTTTGTCGACTCAGAAGCAGGAAAGACTTAGAATCTGCCTGATCATTTGTCGACTCGTTATCTTGGCCATGGAGCTTCTTTTTGCTAAGTATAACCATCTGTTTGCATTTCAGCATATCTTTGTATTATTTTTTTAAAGTAACAGTGACAAGACAGTTTCTGTTTCTCAATTTTTTTTTTAAAGATTTATTTATTTATTTGACAGACAGAGATCACAAGTAGGCAGAGAGGGAGGCAGAGAGAGAGAGAGAGGAGGAAGCAGGCTCCCCGCTGAGCAGAGAGCCCGATGGACCATGGGGCTGGGACCTGGGACCTGGGACCATGACCTGAGCCGAAGGCAGAGGCTTCAACACACTGAGCCACCCAGGCACCCCTCTTGTTTCTCAATTTGTAGCTAAAACAAAATACAAGATGCATAGTTTTAAGAAGGAGAAAAAACAAAAAAACAACAAAAGAACAGCCCCAAATATCTCGAGCTGGCCCAGCACTCATGGCTAGGCCATGGGATTCTCCTCTTGTACATAAACAGTCTCAAGAACCCATCTCTGACAGTGTCACTCTTAGACCATGACAGAATGAGACAAAGCAAAACCACATTTTAAATTTGTCTAACCATAGACAAAAATGATATCACTGTGCAACCCACAAATACTGAGCAGCCTTCTCTTGGCAAAAATGAATGACTGCTACTTCTTCACCCATGACAGCTTTATCTTCAGTCTAGTCTGTCCTCCAAACATTTGTATTTATTGAGATACTCAATGTTCAAGTTGCCTTCTCTTTCTGTAGCATCTAATCCAGTGAACTCAGACCCTCAGATTGTCTTCCAAATCACCCAACCAAAGCTTAAATCCTGCTATAGGTTCCCCCTGACACTCTCTTACTAACACCCTACAGTTCCCCCTACTGGGCATTCTCCCTCAATGCAGTGAGTAACAAACCTGACTTGTTCCACTGTGGGTTTATTCCTGATAGTCTTTGGCTGAAGACATTGATAGCTTAAAGATTAAAACCGTGAAGATGAAATGATGTAAAAATTATTTGACTCACTGGCAGAAATCCACAGAATCTTTTGGAAAGCATAAATGTTGTGTTTGTATATGTTGTATGTGTTTTTATTTATTTACTATGTTATGAATTATAAGCAGGACTGACTCCATAATTTGTGAGGCCAAGTGCAAATGAAAATGTGGGGCCCTTTGCTTGATATTCATTAAGCATTTTGAGACCGTGACTGCAGAGCATTAAACCCAGTGAGACGTGCTTCTGAGCACGGGTCTCTGTGACTGCATGAGTGATGCCCTGTGAAGCCCCTAGTCCGGACTGTGAGATACTTTCTTTCAATCCTGTTCCCTCGGGATTGATGGAAGTAGGTGAAGAACTACTGCTTTCTAATCTCACCTCTTCTTGGCCTTGCCTCATCTCTTCAAAAAGAAAAAAAAAAAGGAAAATCTAATTGTGGTAAAATACACACAACATCAAAGTTACTATCTTAATAATTTGGGGGAATACAGTTCAGTGATATCAAGTGTATTCTCATTGTTGTACAGCCATTTATCTCCAAAAGGTCATCTTGTGAAACTGAAACTGTCCCCATTAAACCACAGGTACCCTACTCCAGCCCTGGCAGCCACCATTCTACTTCCTGCCTCTGAATTTCGCTATTCTAGGTACCTCATATACGTGGAATCATACAGTATTTGTCTCTTTGTGACTGGCTGATTTCACTTGGTGTCATGTCCTCAAGGTTCATCCATGCTGCAGATTGTGACAGAATTTCCTGCCCCCGCCTTTAAAAAATATTATTTATTTATTTATTTATTTATTTGAGGTGGGGGAGAGAATGCATGAGCAGGAGGGAGGAACAGAGAGAGGGAGGAGCAGACTCCCTGCTGAGTAGAGAGCCCCTGATGCAGGGCTCTATCTGAGGACCCTGAAATTATGACCTGATCCCAAGGCAGATGCTTAACCAACTGAGCCACCAAGGTATCCAATTTCCTGCCTTTTGAAGGCTGAATTCCATTCTATTGAATTCCATTGTATGTTTGTACCACATTTGTTTTCATCCATGTATGGGCTTCTGGATTGTTTCATCTTTTTGGCTGTTGTGAACAATGATGCTATGAACATGAAGATGCAAATGCCTGTTTGAGTATCTGCTTTCACGTTGGGGGGATATTGACAGAATAGGAATCGCTGGATCATATGGTAGTTCTCTTTTTGACTTTTTGAGAAACCATCAAACTGTTTGCTGCAGTGACTTCCCCTTTTACATTTCCACTGACACTGTAAATCCTCATTAACTCTTGTTTTATTTTCTATTTTTTAAATCCTAATGGGTGTAAAGTGGTATATCATTGTGGTTTTGGTTTGCATTTCCCTACTGATTTGCGTTTACCTTTGTTTCTAAATTTGCTTTAGAATACTCACAGTGTCACTCTTCTTTCTAGAAAAGAGATGAAGTTTCTGGAGCAGTCAGGTTCTCTGAAAGGCTCCTTGGGTGCTGAAGAACAGCTGTCACTCATCAGTGGGTGTTTGAATATTCAAGAAGCAGTAGAGGGCGCCATGCACATTCAGGTGAGTTGATATTACACTCAAGTCTCTAAGGACTTGAAGAGATTGTCTCCAACTTCCTTGGAAGAACGTGGGGTTGGGGGAGAGATAAAGGGCAGTTGCAAGGTGTGGGCATCTTGTACACTGAAGGTCAGGGTTGTGTTTTATGTGATAGGAAGCATTGTTTCAAAACATCTCCTGTAACATCTCCTCATCAAACTACTGTGATTAGATATTGTTTTTCAGAGGTATTAGAATTTTGAACAGAAATAGGTTTTCTGGACAGCTAACACTTTCATTTTATGTTTCTGTTGAATGAGAGATTATATTCCTGTTCTCATATGTAATTGTAAAAACTTAAACCATCTGAGATACACACTTTCATTTCTGGTAACATTTGCATTTAACTTTTCCAACAACTTTACTTAAAAAAAGAACTCCTTGGGGCACTGTTTGCACAGCAGGGAAACCTGCAGGCAGGCTCTCCAGGGGCTGTGCTCGCAACGGGTTGCCTGCCCGCTCAGGACCCATCCCTCCTGGAGCTCCTGTGTCTATAGACAGCTCCTGCCTCTATGTAAGAACCCAGACGTATAAATTTGTCTTTTAAAAATATTGCACTTACTGCCAAAAGGTTTAAGTGGATTTACCAAAAACTGAAAGAAGTGCCACTCCTGATACCCTTTTTATATTTTGTGAGGCTTTGCATTTCTGTTGACTCAGTGTTGCACATTTCATGTGGTTTCTGTGATGACATTCTCACATGATCTGGGAGCAAACCCAAAAGACTGAGTGTGTTTTATGGTCAGTAGCTGCACTGAGATTGAGGTCCAATACAGTTAATCAAGGTTCTCGGTCTTTGTAGCTCTAAAAGTTCTCTAGTCCATTTAACAAACACGTGTCCAACAGAACGTAAGAAGAGGACTGGATACATAAGATATGTCAATTCCATCTGTCTTTTGAGTATTTTCACCCCCGTCTCTCATTTGGTGAAGGCTGTATATAACTGGGGGGGTCCTATAAGGGATCAGTACCGGAGCATTCCAGTGCTGTCTCTTCCCACCCTCGTGGTGCTACTGGGTGCTGTCAGGGAGGGACTTGCTTCTGAGGAGCAGCACAGAAGCCTTCCAGCCATTCCAGTGTGAGCTCAGCAGAGAAGGTTCTTCACAGGCACTTTGTTGCTAAGGAAAGTGTATGCTTCTTATGCTGCTCCTGCTGGAGGAAGGAAAAACAATTTGTTTTGTGGCTCCTGACATTAGAAAGGGCCTGTGGAAGCTTCCTGCCATGGAGGTGGTGGTTGAGGACACAGACTTTTAGTCAAGCGGACTTTGCACTGAGCAGCTGTGTGCCCTTGTGAGTTTCTTAACTTTTAAGCCCCACTTCCTTATCTGGACATTGGGCATAATAAAGTGCACTGAATGGTTGTGAAGAGAACCATACAAGCTTACATCTAAGGTCACCCTCCTTGAAGGCAAGCTCCATTTTTCCAATGAGAAGATTAAAAAAATTATTTTTGGGGTCAATTTGTTATATACTATTTATATGATACATAATAAAATATTATAATCACATGATGTGATCTGAAATAAGAATATGTTACACATTACTGAAATATTTCTACTTTCCCACTTCACAAAGCACTTCTTTTTTAAAAAAAATAAAGTTTTATTTCTATATTTGAGAAAGAGCATGAGAAGGGGGAGGGGCAGAGGGAAAAGACAAGCAGACTCCCCACTGGGCGCAGAGCCAGATGGGGCCACGTGACTGGCTGGGTGCCAGCTCAAGGGGGCTCCATGCAGGGCTTGATCCAGGATCCTGGCATCATGACATCATGACCGGAGCTGAAGTCAGATGCTTAACCAACTAAGCCACCCAGGCGCTCCAAAGCACTTCTGTTCAAACTCTTAATAGGTGTCTCTGACTCCAGTGTCTTTGTCTTCAGTAGTGATGTTTTTGAGGCTCCTTTCCAGACAAAGTTTTCCAGAGCACATCACTGTTGCTTTCCTGAGATGTTGCTGTGCAGAGCCTTTTTAACCCACATATGACGTGACATTAGAAGTTTTATCTACAGCTTCAACTACTAATTCGCAAACCTTCGGGTGTTTTTTTCTCTCTGTGGTGGTGTACTTATGGTATTCAACATAACAACTGGCTATGTTACTTTTTTTGTTTTAAAATGATCTTTATAAAGTTTATTTCTGAATTTCCCCACACTAGCAATTGCTAAATCATGCCCTAGGGATAATTCAAATGTCTGTGTTAAATTTCTTTGTCTCCTGGTCCCATTTGAAAAACTGGGTTTTATCAGATGATTTCTATGCTAGCATGATTGAATTAGTTCAGAAGAATGTCTTCCCCAAACAGTATATTATTTCTTTAAAAATGGAGATCCCTTCATTAGAACTTTATAATGACTTCAATATAAGGCAAATCTTTTATGGGATGATTTTTGGGGAATATTTTAAGTTATGATGCATGAAAATGCTTAACCACAGCACTTGGCACAATAGAAAATGCCTAAAAAATTGATAAGTAATTTTTTAATGTGACCGTTTGTATACAAATTTGATAATAAGTGATATGGGGTAATATATGTTGTTCTATGCAAAGTATTGAAAACTGATCTTTAAGGTCTGTCTTTATTTTATAGATTGAATGTATTTACATGACATTTACATGTCGAGCAGCATCTATTATGCACAACAACATTAAGTGAGGCAGTGTAGGGAGAGGAATATAGAAAAGATGATGTAAACTCTACTAGGTTTATTTCCTATGAGAGATTACATTCTTCAGAAATTACTTGTACCTTTAGTCCCACAAAGAATAATGGAGAGGGGCGCAGATCCGAACAGAGGCCTTGGGAAGTTTTGATGAAGATAGGATTTGAGGCTGCTTTGGCCTTTGACAAGTGGATTTTGGGGGCTGAGGAGGGGACAGTGTCTCAGAAAGAGATGAAAAGAGGATGAGAGGTGCCTGTGAGTATGTTTGAGGCAACCAGAGTAGAATGGTGAGGCTGAGTCACAGGAGAGGTGGAAAAAGCCTGGAAGTAGAAGCTGAGTGGGGAATGCTTGGAATGCCAAACTGAAAACTTACTTAGATGAAATGACTTAACCTTTATAAAATGCTTGGAGTAATGCGTGGCACATAAGAGCCCTATTTAAGTGTTCTCTTAAGGAAATTAAAGAGTTTGGGTTTCATTCTATATCCTGATTAGAATCCTCCAAGTAAGGTGTTCGGTAGAACAGTGAAATAGATCAGAAAGAAAAAAAAGTCGAGATTTCATTTTTGTCCGTTGCTTTGACTGATTTTCTTGGACATGTTTACACATTTGTTTGTATGATATAGGGTAGATTTGATTTCCCAAATTTTGCAACCAATGCATATCAATTTCACCTTATGTTTATCAAAAAGTAAATAGACACTTCCAAATCAAAACCTGCCTAAAATTGTGTCATGTGTTTGTTAAATTACATTAGGTCTCTAACAGCCTAAGAAAGTTAAAAATATGTTTTTAAGAGTAAAGAGTGAAGAAAGTTTAAGAAAATGCTGTATAGGTCCATCATTCCAAAAACGTCTTAACATTTTAATATATTTGTATTTCTTTCCCTTTCTCCTATTTATTTTTTGTCTTTCTCTAACACCCTTGACATTATACTGTAAACAGAATTTTATATCATGATTTTTGTTTAAAGTTTAGAACATTACTTGCTGTGTGATTTGCCTAAGATTCTAACAGATAGAAGTATGATTTTTGGACTTAAAATAATTGTTATGTTTATCGTGTGATATCCAGCCTGGAAGAACCTTCCATCTTAGATGGAAGGAAGAACCTTCCATCTTAGATGGAAGGAAGAACCTTCCATCTTAGATGGAAGGAAGAACCTTCCATCTAAGATGGAAGGAAGAACCTTCCATCTTAGATGGAAGGAAGAACCTTCCATCTTAGATGGAAGGAAGAACCTTCCATCTAAGAATGACATTAAAGCTGATGTTCCAAAATGCCATCTGTCAGGCAGCTACTCTACCAGGCCACACAGTCCTGCCTTATCTTAGTACTCACAGACTTGCTAGCTGTACCCTTACCAGCTCTCATAATTCTCTTTTCCAATTTATAATAGGAAACATTCACAATGTAGGAAAATTAATCTAGGCTATTTGGAGGCATTTTTCTTACAAAAAATTAACATTACTTTTGGGAGTTTATGAATTAACAAGTAAGCAAAACCACATTGCTTGCCGCACAGTTGTTCAACTACAAAAGTCCCACTGTAGGATTTACTGAGTCCCCAAGGATCAAAGCCCTAGCAAGGTGAGTGTAACTTTCTGTGGTAGGTTTGTCTTCTACCCAAACCCCAGAGGGCGGGAGCATGGATCAGAAAGTTCCTTAATTGACTGCTGAAATGTGGGAGCATACAAGAATGAAACCTGAATTTCTAGACTTAGTGCAATTTGGAAATCAAATCTTGCCTAGCAAGAAAATCAACTATGCTGGAAAAATAAGCTTATTCTGAAAAGCCTGTCTAAAGCTTTGACTGACTCTGAAAGAGCATTAAGGCTCATTAGCCGTGATACAGAGCTTTATCTGATCTCTGGAATTTAAGACTTGAAACTGAAGTAGCTGGTAGGAGCCGTGGGAGTGGCTTATAGAATTAGGGAGTTTAAATGGACTTGCCTTATGCAGAAATCAAGGACAACTGCTGAAATCTGGAAGTAAGAATTAAATCATCTGTATGGATAAGGAGAATTTACATCTGAACTTCACCTTTAAAATTTAGAGGATGTTGGTCATTTTGATGAGGACTTTCAGACTCTGTCAGAAATTATAGGATAGAGTATTCATAAACACTGAATTTACTTTTTCTTAAAGGATGGGAGCTTGTTGGACTTTTGGTCTTGGTTCACTGAGGCTCGGAATAATCCTTTCAGTAGGCATGGGAGTGTGGGTGTGGGGTGCTCATGTAGCGAAGGGCACATGGGGCAGCCAACACTGAGAACTTACAGGGTGTACATGGAAACTTGAATTT